GACTATATAATTTAAAAAATTGCATATTCTCTTTAGAATATTTTCTAAATGAGTGCTCTAGAAATGTCACCTTAAGGCATAATGTTTGGAAAACATAAGGTATTTATATTCTTGATGTAGATTTCAATAACATGCTAAGTTTTGCTCTGGTTAAATTTTTCCTGTATCCTCAGAGAAATTAATGACAATATTTTGACATAAGGTTTTCAGATTTTGCATTATTAAAACTAGAGTTGCAGAGAATAAAAAAAGCAATCCTTTTACTAGTCCTAGGAAAGGATTAGATAAGCATGGCATGTTTTATAAATTAAACACAGTTCTTATTTGGATCAAAAGTCTAAGCAGTTTTTATAGATTTCTCAGGTTAAATGGAAATGTATTCCACTTTTCATAATGTGAAAAAATGTCTAAATTTGTAATTGTAATATTTGTATGCTGTGAGCTACCTCCACTTTATAAACTTACCAAAGTTCCTCCAGAGATACAAATTATGACTAATAATACTTGTTAACCAATTTAAAATTTTCCAACTAAAAGTTAATAATTGATTAAAGTAGTTGTTTATCAACTTTCTAAGCTGGAATTCAGACACAAATCCTTAACCTTTTTAAATACTCCCTTTCTCCACTCCTTATCCCCACATCTTCTTCCCCAGTAAAGTCACAAAACCCCCTAAATTTAAGTATTAAAATTTTTTAACTGTGTAGATTCAGAGGGTACATGTGCAGGTTTTTTACAAGGATATATTGCCTGACATTTAGGTTTGGGGTGTGACCTACGTAGTGAGCATAGTACCCAATACATAGTTTTTCAATCCTTGCCCTCCTCCCTGTTGTGTCTGTGGTTCCTATCTTTATGTTGGTGTGTACACAGTGTTTAGCTCCCACTTATAAGAGAGAATATGCAGTATTTGATTTTCATTTTCTGTGTTAATTTGCTTAGGATAATGGCCTCCAGCTGCATCCATGTTGCTGCAAAGGACATGATTTCATTCTTTTTATGGCTGTGTAGTATTCCATAATGCAAATGTACCACATTTTCTTTATCCAGTCCACCAATATGGGCACCTAGGTTGATTCCATTGTCTTTGCTATTATGAATAGGGCTGCAGTGAACATGAGTGCATGTATCTTTTTGGTAGAATGATTTCTTTTCCTTTGTGTGTATAGCCAGTAATGGGATTGCTGGGTTGAATGGTGGTTCTATTTTCATTCCTTTGAGAAACCTCTAAACTAATTTCTACAGTGGCTGAACTAATTTACATTCCCACCAACAGTGTATAAGCATCTCCTTTTCTCTTCAGCCCTGCCAACATCTGTTATTTTTTGACTTAAAAAAATAATTTCAACTTGTGTTTTAGATCGGGGGTACACGTGCAGGTTTGTTACATAGGTATATTGTGTGATGCTGAGGTTTAAGGTATGAATGATACTGTCACCCAGGTAGTGAGCATAATACCTGATAGGTAGTTTTTTTAGCACTTGCCCCACTCCCTCTCTCCTCTCTCTAGTAGTCTCCAGTGTCTGTGTTCCTGTGTTTATGCCCATGTGTGCCCAGTACTTAACTCTCACTTACAGATGAGAACATGTGGTTTGGTTTTCTGTTCCTGCGTTAATTCACATAGGATAATGGCCTCCGGCTGCATCCATGTTGCTGCAAAGGCATGATTTCATTTTTTTTAATGATGAGTGCATAGTGTTCCATGGTGTATATGTACCACATTTTCTTTACTGAATCCATCATGGTTGATTCCGTGCCTTTGCTGTTGTGAATAGTGCTGCAATCAATCTACGAGTACCTGTGTCATTATGGTAGAACAATTTATATTCCTTTAGAGATATATATATCCAATAATGGAATTTCTGGGTCAATTGATAGTTCAGTTTTAATTGCTTTGAGAAATCACCACAATGCTTTCCACAGTGGCTGAATTAATTTACATTCCCACAAGCAGTGTATAAACATTCCCTTTTCTCCATAACCTCTTGCCAGCCATCTGCTATTTTTTGACTTTTTAATAATAGCCCTTCTGACTTGTGTGGGATGGTATCTCATGTGTTGGTTTTTTTCTTTTCTTTTTCTTTTCTTTTCTTTCTTTTTTTTTTTTGAGAGAGGGTCTCTCTGTCGCCCATGCTGGAGTGCAGTGGCATAATCTTGGCTCACTGCAGTCTCTGCCTCTCGGGTTCAAGCAATTCTCCACAGATGTGTACCACCATGCCCAGCTAATTTTTGTATTTTTAGTAGAGATTGGGTTTCACCATGTTGGCCAGGCTGTTCTTGAACTCCCAGCCTCATGTGATCCACCCACCTCAGCCTCTGAAAGTGCTGGGATTATAAACCTGAGCCACTGCACCCAGCCTTGTTGTGGTTTTGATTTGCATTTCTCTAATGATTAATGATACTGAGCATCTTTTCATCGGCTTGTTGGCCACATGTATGTCCTCTTTTGAAAAATGTATTTTCACATCCTTTGACCACATTTTAATGGGGTTCTTTGTTTTTTGCTCGAAATTTGTTTAAGCCCCTTGTAGATTCTGGATATTTGTTGGATGCATAGTTTGCAAATAATTTCACCCATTCTGTAGGTTTTCAGATTGCTGTGTTGATAGTTTCTTTTTCTGTGCAGAAGCTTTTTAGTTTAATTAGATTCCACTTGCTAACTCTTGGGCTTTTGTAGCAGTTGCTTTTGAGGACTTAGTAATAAATTCTTTGCCAAAGTTGATATCCAGAGGGTATTTCCTAGGTTTTCTTCTAGGATTTCTATAGTCCTTGGCCTTACATTTAAGTCTAATCCATTTTGAATTAATTTTTTTTTTTTTGAGGTGGCATCTGGCTCTGTCACCCAGTCTGGAGGGCAGTGGTGCCATCTTGACTCACTGCAACCTCTGCCTCCAGAGTTCAAGTGATTCTCCTGCCTCAGGCTTCCAAGTAGCTGGGATTATAGGTGCATGCCACTACGCCTGGCAATTTTTTTTTTCTTTGTATTTTTAGTAGAGACAGGGTTTCACCATATGGGCCAGGCTGGTCTCAAACTCCTGGCCTTAAGAGATCTGCCAGCCTCGGCTTCCTAAACTGCTGGGATTATAGGTGTGAGCCACCCCACCTGGCCATCTTGAATTAATTTTTGTGTATGGTGATATGTAGAGGTCCAGTTTCATTCTTCTGCAGATGGTAAACCAGTTATCCCAGCACCATTTATTGAATAGGGAGTTCTTTCCCCATTTTTTATTTTATTTTATTTTATTTTTATTATTATACTTTAAGTTCTGGGATACGTGTACAGAACTTGCAGGTTTGTTACATAGGTATACACGTGCCATGGTGGTTTGCTCAACCCATCATCTACATTAGGTATTTCTCCTAATGCTATCCCTCTCCTAGCCCCCACACCCCCCAACAGGCCCCGGTGTGTGATGTTCCCCTCCCTGTGTTCATGTGTTCTTATTGTACAACTCCCACTTACAACTGAGAACATGCGGTGTTTGGTTTTCTTTTCCCGTGTTAGTTTGCTGAGAATGATGGTTTCCAGCTTCATCCATGTCCCTGCAAAGGACATGAACTCATCCTTTTTATGGCTGCATAGTATTCCAGGGTGTATATGTGCCACATTTTCTTTATCCAGTCTGTCATTGATAGGCATTTGGGTTGGTTTCAAGTCTTTGCTATTATGAATAATGCTGCAATAAACATATGTGTGCATGCATCTTTATAGTAGAATGATTTATAATCCTTTGGGTATATACTCAGTAATGGGATTGCTGGATCAAATGGTGTTTCTGGTTCTAGATCCTTGAGGAATTGCCACACTGTCTTCCACAATGGTTGAACTAATTTACACTCCCACCAACAGTGTAAAAGTGTTCCTATTTCTCCACATCCTCTCCAGTGTATGTTGTTTCCTGACTTTTTAATGATCACCATTCTAATTGGCGTGAGATGGTATCTCATTGTGGTTTTGATTTGTATTTCTCTAATGACCAGTGATGATGAGATTTTTTTCATGTTTGTTGGCCACATAAATGTAGACTTTTGAGAAGTGTCTGTTCATAGCCTTTGCCCACTTTTTGATGGGGTTGTTTGCTTTTTTCTTGTAAATTTGTTTAAGTTCCTTGTAGATTCTGGATATTAGCCCTTTGTCAGATGGATAGATTGCAAAAATTTTCTCCTATTTTGTAGGTTGCCTGTTCACTCTGATGATAGTTTCATTTGCTGTGCAGAAGTTCTTTAGTTTAATTAGATCCCATTTGTCAATTTTGGCTTTTGTTGCCATTGCTTTGGTGTTTTAGTCATAAAGTCTTTGCCCATGCCTATGTCCTGAATGGTATTGCCTGGGTTTTCTTCTAGGGTTTTTCTGGTTTTAGGTTTTATGCTTAAGTCTTTAATCCATTTTGAGTTAATTTTTGTAAGGTGTAAGAAAGGTGTCCAGTTTCAGTTTTCTGCATATGGCTAGCCAGTTTTCCCAACACCATTTATTACATAGGGAATCCTTTCCCCATTGCTTGTTTGTGTCGGGTTTGTCAAAGATCAGATGCTTGTAGATGTGTGGCGTTATTTCTGAGGCTTCTGTTCTGTTTCATTGGTTTATATATCTGTTTTAATACCAGTACCCTGCTGTTTTGGTTATTGTAGCCTTGTAGCCTTTTTGATTTTAGCTGTAGCCTTTTTGATTTTAGCTACTCTATTGAGTGTGAAATGTTACCCTATTGTGGTTTTAATTTACGTTGGATCATGTTGAACACTTTTTTATGTACCTATTTGCCATTCTTATAACTTCTTTTGTGAAGTGTATATTCACTCTTTACTGCAAGGGGATAGCTATCTTCTTGCTTCTACTGTTTAACAGTAATAACAAAAGGATGTTATACATAAAAGATATTGATACATTTAATACTTCTAAGCTGCTGGCAGTTTTGGAAGGAAAGTAATTAGTATTTAAAACACAGACTTTATAACTTTAAATTTAAAACAAAAATTACATTCTATTTTGTGTTTGATTTCAGGTGCAGTTAAAAACTAGCATTTCTAGTCAGTATGTAATTCGGATGCAACCGACTAATAGATGCCTTTCTACACTGGAGTGTGCAGCTGTTGCTCTTTCCATCTTGGAGAAAAATAATTACATACAAGAGGTACGTCTTTGGAAGGTTATAGTTTTTGAAAGTGGGAATTTTCTTGGATTTTACATAGAAGATTTAGATATGCTTGTTAAATTTGTAACTCATGTGACAAGTAGAATCTTCTGTGATAGAAATTTATGTACTTTTATAACCTTCTTTCCCCTCTGGTGTTTTTCTGTGTTAGTTTAGCATTCCAGATTGCATTATTTAAATATTCATACTAAGCTGTGCAAACATAATTTGTAATACGCTAAATTACAGTTAAGTAGCACAACATTAAATAGTTTTTTGGCTAGATTTTTCTTCTAGTGTTTTCTCTTCTCTTTTTGGTATTTTGTGTTCTCTTGTACTCAGCCTTTTCTTCTTTTTAGTTAAAAGAACATTCTATAGCAACATTTTAATTTTTGCATTGGTGCCGTTATTTGAGGAGGTATACTAACTTTCTGTTTCTCATATTAACCTTGCTTAGAATGTAAAAAAGACATTTTTCTTAAAAAAAAAAGCCTAGAAAATATGAAAACATTATAACCTGCAATTATTTTAATTTCTATGAAAGCATGATGATTTCATATAAAATTAATAATCATCAGCAAAGAATAATGTTTCAGTGTGCTTACTAACATCTCAGTCTTTTGGAACATGTAAGAAACTTAGCATTTGTAGCAAAAGAAAAAATAGTGAAATAAAACCTAAATTGTTATGGTTTTTTAATTATTGAAAAGTTTTGATAAATACAACTCAATAAGAAAGTCAGTAGATAATAAGCACAAATAAATGGGATTTATAACCCCGCCTTCAAAACACTGCATAAACACATGCATGCACACATGCATGTACACACACACGTGAGGTACTCTTTCTTGCCTTCTCTCTTTCTCATTATCCATTATGGTTACAGTTATGAGTATGCCTTAACACGAAGGAAATTTCAATAACAGATGAAAGCTCAGTTCAGAGTAAATGTATTAGCTACCAAGATATTAATCCTAAAGAGAACAAAAATATATCAAAAGCAAGGAGCATTAAAGAATATTAGAGGCAGGCATGGCCAGGCGCAGTGGCTCATGCCTGTAATCCCAGCACTTCGGGAGGCTGAGGCAGGTGGATCATGAGGTCAACAGATCGAGACCATCCTGGCTAACATGGTGAAACCCCGTCTCTACTAAAAATACAAAAAATTAGCCAGGCGTGGTGGTGGGTGCCTGAAGTCCCAGCTACTTGGGAGGCTGAGGCAGGAGAATGGCGTGAACCCAGGAGGCGGAGCTTGCAGTGAACCGAGATTGCACCACTGCACTCCAGCCTGGGCGACAGAGCAAGACTCCGTCTCAAAAAAAAAATGTTATAAGCAGGCATTGAATTACTTTTTTCCTCTCCTCTACCTTAAGCTGTGGAAAATGTCAGAGTTGGAGACTTTTTTTTTCTTTTGAAAGAAGTAGGCTTTTCGTGTGTGTGTGTGTGTGTGTGTGTGTGTGTGTGTGTGTGTGTGTGTATTTGAGTAGACTTTGTTTTGGGTCTAGGCAATTTCACTTTCTCTGCCTTTGAAAAAAATTCATGAAGGACCATAGATTCTTACTTTAAATGAGCAGGGAGTGTTCTCAGACACCTTTCCATCTCCTCTAACCGTGTCACCTACTCCCATGTCCCTAGCCATGAACATAGTACTTTATATACCCCATACGTATCTTTCTGTTTATTTACCATCATCTCTGTATATTCTTAAGCAAATATATATACATACATGCTCTTCACAGGTGTCTTTATAATAGAGTTATGTAACCCAGTGCTGTTGTTTAAACTTGCTTTCTCTACAGTCTCTGCATTTTCTTCTTTGTTGATGTAAAACTCTAGGATCAGACAACATCAGACCAAACAAGGACCCACTGAAAGTTCAAATTTTGAGGGAAAAATATATTCTTTAGCTATAGATTTAAAGCTTACTTTTCTCTCCTTTTGGGTTCTGGAAAGAATTCTCTATGGACTTATATCTCTTATTCCCACAATTGGAAGTGGATCTTTACTACAATCCTAAATGTAACCTTTAATGTTAGTAATGGTGCTGGTTATGGTAATAGCAGTTATAGAATAATAGGGTTGCAGTTAAGGAAAGGGTTTGTACTACTACTACTACTACTACTACTACTACTACTACTACTACTACTACTACTAATTCTCGTAGTGCTCCCTTCTCTCCAGTTTTATAATATTTTGATGTTAATGAATGTACCATCTACTTGTAAAAAAGGATAAATTTAAAAATTAATGTACATTTTATTAGGAACCCTATTAGCTAAAAATATTTCACGCTTTATTTTACAAATGTTCTAGACTCTGCAAAGTATTAGAATGAATTCTTTCAAAGTTAACTGATAAGGACGTTTTTGAAAAGATGATATAACATTATATATTTAGGACAGCTTTCTTCATGTTGTTTTAGGGCCTCTTCTTCATCAGCATTTTTTCATTCTTTCATTAATTCTGTTGTTTTATGTAACCCAAGGCATTTATTGATGACATAAAGCCACAGGCTGACTTGAATCTTGCTAGATTGTGCTTTGTGATGTGATATCTTAAAAAAACAAAACCAAAAAAGGAATCCTTATTGTGACAACTTGAGACTTGCAAAATACATTCTGAGTGTAATATGTAACAAAAGGCAAAGTTTAAGACAATGGAATGGTGACAGGACCCATTATCTCTTCAGCTTTTGTTATTGTTGTCTGTAGATAAAATTAAACATAAAGTCCCAAAGTAATAGTGAGGTATTGGAACCCTCATTCTGCTTGCTTTGGTTGCCAGGAGTAATTGTACTGCAGTGGCCAGGAGTAGAAAAAGGATGTTTGACGGTCAGACCTGTGATTTGGGAGGTACTGATAACATGGTGGGAGCGTGAACAGAAGAAATACATAATGAAACATCTCAAGTCACTTATTATTACAGATGGCAAAAATTGCCTCCAGCCACAGTTTATAGTAAAAGCTGTTTTCTTAGTGGGGAAATCCCACATCCAGCCTTTTCAAATCTAGTTACAAGAAAAAAATTAGCATCTAGTTACGATAATAAATTAGCATCTTTGTGAAATGCAGTATCAGTCTGCCCTGAACATAGGGGTTTTATTTCCCTCCTGGGGAGGAAAGTGGTGACACACACTTTTTCCCAATAATGTTTTATCAGGGGCATTCTAATAAAACCTTAAGATGGTGGGGGAGAATAGTACATTTTCTTTTTCTTTTTCCTTTCTTTTTCCTCTTCTCTTTGCTTCACTTTGCTTTTCTTTTCTTTTTCTTTTCCCACAGAGTCTTGCTCTGTCACCCAGGCTGGAGTGCAGTGGCATGATCTTGATTCACTGCACCTTCTGCCTCCCGGGTTTAAGTGATCTTCCCACCTCAGCCTCCCAAGTAGCTGGGACTACAGGTGCATGCCACCATGCCCAGCTAATTTTTGTATTTTTTGTAGAGATGGGAGAGGCGGGGGGAATCTCATGTTGCCCAGATTGGTCTTGAACTCCCAGGGGATTTAAGTGATCCACCTGCCTTGGCCTGCCAAAATGTTGGAATTACAGGCCTGAGCTACCGTGCCCACCAGAGAAGAGTCAATTTTCACTTGGCTTTATTCTATAGAGGCAGGGCTCCTCAAAATAAAGAACTTGGCACAGAATAGCTTTGTTAGTCTGTTGTCTCATCCTCACTCTATTCTAGAGCAGTTTTTCAAGCACCTGAAAGTATGGCTACAGGAAAGTAGCATGATATGGACTTCGAAGTAGTTTTGAATTACAACTTATTATCATCACTTTTTGCAAGTGGGCAGACCACATAATTTCTTTGTACTTGTGTTCTTATCTGTAATACACAAATAGTTACCTCATAGTATTTCAAGAACTGAGGTAATAATGAGTAATTGCCACAGTTGTCCGCACAGGCACTCAAAAAGAGTTAATCCTTTTGCCCTTCTTTTCCTCTAATTTTTGCCTTTAGATTGGCAAAAGAAAGTGTGAACTAAAAGGTGGTGGCTTTCATTAGCTACTGCAGTATTTACTGGACTTTTCAGACCTTGGAAGCCTTTAGCTTAGGGATCTTTTTTATTACAGAACCTTCTCTACTTACGAAGTTTTATCATAGGAATTTTTAAAGATAGATGTGGCAGAACCTTTTCTATAGCCTGAATGTTTTGCCTGTACCCAATACCAGCGGTCGGTAGTAATGGTTCCTTGAAAACTGTCACTTTTCACATGCAGCAAAAAGGATTTACTAGGATAGGCTACAACTTTAAAACTCTAAAGTTGAAATCACATAAGATGACAAAACTTTATGCATCTCTCATGCTGTTTGTCCAGTGGGATTACCCTGAGGACCTCTGCTCATTGCAGTCACCCAGGCATCCATCCTGATGGAGGAACTATCTAGATAATTCATCCCACTTTCATCAAGGAAGGGGCAAGGAAGGTGGTGAATCCTATACCACTTTTAATGCTTCTGCCCTAAGGTGACACATATTAGTTGTACTCACATTTCATTAACCAAAGCAAGTGATATGGCTGTGCCTAACTTTAAAAAGGGATAGAAAATGCCAATCTGCTCATGTATCAAGAAGGAGGTCTGGACTGTTTGTGAACAGCTGTAGGGAGTACCAACAGAGATGGAGTGGGGATCTGATTCAGATCTGCCTGTTTCCAAAATTCATTCTCTTCATTACCTCAGTAAATTGATAGAATCTTATCTTCAGGATGTAAAAGTTGGAATCTATTGACCATAAGAGTATGAGTTTTCTTCTCTATACAAGAATCTAATAAACGTCATAAAATATCAATAGAATCTTCAGTTGTCTTGTTCTGTATGTAGTCCTAGGTATGTTTCCTAGGTACGATGTTTCAGAATCCAATCAGTCCACTGTGCTGACTCTGTAAAGTATGTAAAGTCATATATTGTTATTTTAGCATTCCTTCTCTTGTTTTCTGCTTTAAAATAAATTATGAGAACATGCTTAAGGAGTTTTCTACAATAATATTGTGCAGAGCCTTTTCAAGATGTTTACCTTTTTTCTTTCTTTCTCTTTCTCCCTCCCTCCTTTCCTTCCTCCCTCCCTCCCTCCCTTTTTTCTTCCCTTTCCCTTTTCTTTTCCTTCCTTCTTTTTATTTCTTTTCTTTGGTTTCTCATTCTGGACTGGGTGCGGTGGCTCACATCTGTAATCCCAGCACTTTGGGAGGCTGAGGCTGGCGGATCAGGAGGTCAGGAGTTTGAGACCAGCCTGGCTAATATGTTGAAACCCTGTCTCTACTAAAAATACAAAAATTAGCTGGGCATGATAGCGCATGCCTGTAGTCCCAGCTACTTGGGAGGCTGAGGCGGAAGAATCACTTGAATCCAGGAGGCAGAGGTTGCAGTGAGCTGAGATCATGCCACTGCACTCCAGCCTGGGTAACAGAGCGAGACTCCATCTCAAAAAAAAAGAAGAAGAAAGTTTCTTATTCTGCCACCGAGGCTGGAGTGCAGTGGTATGATCATGGTCCACTGCTGCCTTGACCTCCTGCCTCAGCCTCCCAAGTAGCTGGGACCACAGGTGCATACCACCATGTCTGACTAATTCCTTCTTTCTTTCCTGCTTGCTTGCTTGCTTTCTTTCTTTCTTTCTTTCTTTCTTTCTTTCTTTCTTTCTTTCTTTCTCTCTCTCTCTCTTTCTCCTTCCTTCCTTCCTTCCTTCCTTCTTTTCTTTTCTTTTCTTTTCTTTTCTTTTCTTTTCTTTTCTTTTCTTTTCTTTTCATAGAAACAGGGTCTTGCCATGTTGCCTAGGCTGGTCTCAAACTTGTGGGCTCAAGCAATCCTCCTGCATCAGCCTCCCAAAATGCTGGGATTACAGATGTGAGGGTGTATATTACAGTAAGGAATTATATTTGCTTGCATGTAAGAGAGCCCTTACTGTAGTGGTTAATTCACATGGGGTTTTCTTTTTCTCCTGTAAATCACAAATGCTGAGGTGGGCAGTCCTGACTGGGAATGCAGCTTGAAAAAGACTTCAGGGACAAGTTTTCTTTTCTTTCTGTCCATCATCTTATGTATTTGGCTTTAATCTTCATGTTTATTTTCTAGGAGTCATATGATGCTTGTCCTACCTTCAATCATTTTCTAGGCAGGAAAAAAGGACAAAAACCTATGCCTGCTAAGTTTGTCCCCTTTAAGGAGTATCTCTAGAAGCCCCATCCAAGGACTTCTAGTTACATCTTCTTGGATAGATTGGGTCATTAGTCAATGTAATATTAGTAGCTGGACACATTGCTACCTTGAATATAATTTGAATTATTTTAATAAGGGAGAAAATGAATACGAAGAAGCAACTACCAGTGACTATCACAATTTTTAAGAGTTCATTGTAAATTAAAGCTAATTAGCCCCTTTTCTATCACTTATATTGTGCATCAGCCTCCCAAAATGCTGGGATTACAGATGTAAGAGTGTATATTATAGTTAGGAATGATATTTGGCCGTGTGTAAGAGAACCGTTACTGCAGTTATTAATTCACATGGGGTTTTCTTTGTGGGTTAATAAGTTTTCATGTAGACATTGTGAATTTTTTGTAGTTAAATCTATCAATCTATCAGTTTTTCTTTGTTTATTTTGTGATCCTGTAACAAACTGTTCAATTGTTTTTGCTATATTTTTGAAAACATCTGCATCAGGGGTCTTAGGCCCAAGGAAGGAATCTCACCCAAAATATGTTTAAAACACTGACATAGTGTTGTTATTTTTTTAATTTTTGAATTTGAATAACTTTAGGTAGAGCATATACTCCAGTTGTATTACAACCACCACTATTCTCAGTTGGCCTATAAAGATCTACCTAGTTTACTTGTTTCTGTTACGTGACTGGCCTATAGGTATTTGAATTTAGACAGGTTCAGATATTGTTAGAATGATTTCAAAAGCACCAAAACCTGGGTATCTAACTTGTATGTGGTCCATGGCACTAATGTGAGAGAAATAGCAAACTGTTTACCCATTGCTGCCATCATCTAATTGTTATCAGGTGTCAGTAAGCTTGCATTAATTTGTCATAGAAACTGAATTGACTGTTTGATGTACTTATCTTTGTATTTAAATGTTTCATTTAGTCTGCTTGTTACAGATTCAGTTATAATGGCAACAATTTTTCCTGGTGTTTGAATAAGTTAATGTATAAAACTAATATCAGACTTTATTACCTATGTGGAAAATCAGTATTTGTATATTTTTACTAAAATTCCTTAGTGTGATATTAAGGTGTGAATTTTAAAGACATTATTCATCTAGAAATAATTACATATTTATCAGAGTGCCTACTGTTTCTCATAGTTAAAAGCCAATCATAATAAAAGAAACATAATGACTCCTATTTCTCAATGAAAAATGTAGATAGAATATCATGATTTGTCATAGACACTTTTTTAGTGTCTTTTTTTTTCTTAACAGACTTTGCTTCGCCCTCTTCAAGCTTTATGCTCTTTTCAACTTCAGCATGGTGCCCAAATTCGCCTCAGCAAGGAACACCTTCTGAAAAATGGATTATATCCTAAACCAATGCCAAAGAACAAACGCAAACTCAGCTGGATAAATTTGTATTTTTCATGTTCATTGAACAGGCTGATTGACCTATTGGTAAACTTATTGATGTGTTTCTACTGGAAAATATAAGTGGAATATGAGTAAGCACACTGTTATTTTCAGGAAACATATTCTTTAGGGCTATTTAAAGGATAACCTTTTTTAATGGGCAAAACTTTCAATTGAGAGAAAAATTCCTCCTTGCTGTGGAAAAATTATTGCTGGGATCTGTTGTATGGATAATTGAGACATGTATGTAGACATTATTTTACATGCAGCCTGAAGTCTGACTGCAATGTTGTACACATCTTCGGCAGGAAGAGGGGATATTTGTTTTAGTCTTGTGTTTGATGGACTTCTCTAGAGTTTCTGTATCTGGTGTTAAGTTGTTAAGGAAAAACTGAGAACATGCAATTTAAAAGGTAAACTTGGTGACGTATTTTATAGTGAGCATATACCAATATTGATTATTTCCCACAGTTTTTATGCTCGTTTGTTTATTTCTGACTTGGATTAGAATCATTAAAAGCTATAATGCTGCGACAATTAGAATGCTTAATATTTGGGGAAACGTATGCAGAAAATATTTTGGAAAGTATTAAAATTAGAGTGCTAGTTCTTCTGATTGTTGATTTATTTTTGCGATGTTAAGAAACAAATTTAGGGGCTTGGGCCGTTTGTTCACACCTGTAATCCCAAGCACTTTGGAGGCCTGGAGTGTGGAGAATTGCATTGAGCCCAGAGTTTGAAGACTAGCGTTTGGCAATATTGGTTAAGACCCCATCGTCCATACAAAAATTTCTTAAAAAAATAATAGCTGGGATGTGTGTGTGTACCTGGTATCCTGCTACGTTTAGGATCCTGAGTTGGGGGAGATCACTTGAGTGTTGTAGAGTATGAAGGCTGCGAGGAGCTATGTTCATTTTACTGGTACTCAGCCTGGGGCTACAGAGTGAGACTCTGTCTAAAATGAATGAATGAGATGAATGAGATGAATTGAATTGAATGCCTGGGCTACAGATGTGAGACCGGTATCTAAAAAATTAAATAACAAACAAACTGATTTACAATTTAAAGCAACCTAGTATCAAATGTATTATTTGGGTTACTGGAAATAGAAACAGCATATAATGTATTTCATAAGGTTTCTTTTTTGGGAGCTAATTTTTGCAGCTATTGATATTGAAACTTGGTATGAGTTCCTTTTAGCGTATTATTATTTATTTAATTATTATTTTGAGACAGATCTCACTTCTGTAGCCCAGGGCTGGGGTGCCGTTGGCCGCTTATTTTCTCGGGCTCACTGAAGCTCCGCCTCCAGGTCACCACATTCCCTGCCCAGGCCTCCTTGAGTAGCTGAGACTACAGCGCACCGCCACCCACACTCGGCTAATTTTTTGTTATTTTTTAGTTAAGACCGGGGGGTTTCACCCATGTTAAGCAGAATGAGTTTGATCTCACCTGAGCCGTCATGATGCCACCCGCCTCGGAGCCGTCCAAAGTGCGGGAATTGACAGGCGTGAACCACCGTGCCCGGCGCGTCCATTATTACTTTTTAAAAAGAAAACTGTTCCCCCTACCCCATAATATACCATTTTGTACCTTCAAAAATTTTACTTGTTGATTTTAAGGGAGTAATTCTATTTTTATCTTTTGGAAATAAAAATAGGTGAGTATTGAATAATTAAAGCTTAAAATTTGTTTTCTTGGAAATGTATAAAGGTTTTCATTGAAGTATGGAATAGGTTTCCAAAAATTCATTACTGAACCTGTTAATTCACTATCACATTGTTTTTTACTTTTATGTTTTTTCCTTGACCTCCTAACAGGTGAGTCCATTTAAACAATCTGGGGTATAAAAGGCTTTAGCTCAGCCTGTTTCTCGATCCCTAGTTGTAAGTAAGTTTATTTTTTTTTTTTTTTTTTTTTTCTGATTTGTGTGTGTGTAGTCTTCTGTTCTGTGTGTTTGTTCCGCCTGTGCGAGGCATTGATGCCAGATTGTTAGCTCTATCTGCTATTAAGCTGCCGCCTCCCAGGGTTCACGCCGATTCTCCTGCTCAAGACCTCCCCGAGATTAGCTGAGGAACACAGGCTCGCCCGCCAACCTCAACACCGGCTATTTTTGTATTTTTCTA